TCTACTGACGTTATCTTTGATTTTTTCCCATTTAAACAGACAAAATGAGAACGGTCCGATAAGTACGATCTAAACCAGCTTAATGCCTGTCCCTGGACACCGGTGAAGTTTTGTAGTCGATCCAAGAGTATTATATGATCTATAGTGTCGAACGCAGCGCTAAGATCAAGTAGGACTAGTATTGAGATACATCCTTGGTCAGAAGCTAAAAGTAAATCATTTGTAATTTTAACTAGCGCAGTTTCTGTACTATGATGCGGTCTGAATCCTGACTGGAATTTTTCATAGATATCATTTTCTTGCAAAAAAGAGCACAATTGAGCGGACACTACTTTTTCAAGTATTTTGGACATAAATGGAAGATTTGAAATGGGTCTGTAATTTGCCAAGTTATTTGGATCTAATTGCGGTTTCTTAATGAGCGGTTTTATTACAGCCAGCTTGTATATTTTTGGGACATGACCTAAAGATAAAGACGAGTTAATAATATTGAGGAGAGGCTCTTCCACTACAGGTAATAGTTCTTTCAGTAGTTTAGTGGGTATTGGATCTAATAAACAAGTTGTTGGTTTAGATGCAATGATAAGTTTATTTAGCTCCTCCTGTCCTATCGTTGTAAAGCGGTTTAGTTGTTCTAGAGGGTCCATAATTGAAGCTGAATCATAAGACACCATAGCGGATTGTACATTTATAATTTTGTTTCGGATGCTTTCTATTTTCGCATTGAAGTAATTCATAAAATCATTACTACTAAACTGTAAAGGTATATTTTGCTCTGGTGATGTCTGTTTATTTGTTAGTCTAGCCACGGTGTTAAATAAAAACCTTGGATTATTTTGGTTATTTTCGATTAGTTTGCGGAGATGCTCAGCCCTGGCTGTTTTTAGTGTCTTTTTATAACGTGACATACTGTCTTTCCACGCGATTCTAAAGACCTCTAAATTAGTTTGTTTCCATTTACGCTCTAAGTTGCGAGTTTCTCTCTTGATAGCATGCGTAGCACTGTTGTTGTCACAGTCTGTCGTGCTCACCTGTTTTGTCCCGTCATCTGCACCACACTTCCCCGGATCCTTTTGTTCCTCTCCCGGACTCACTCCCCAATCAGCCACCTGTTCCTCGTCCTGTCATGATCATTTTCACCTGTGTTCACCCCAATCAGCCTTATTCCTCGGTGTATTTAGTTCAGTTCGGTTTCAGTTGGTGTTTGTCGGTCAATGTTTAATGTTACGTGGTTATCCCGTCTTCCTGCCTGTATTTATTTAATAAATTTGATGTTCTTCGAGATTTTGGACTCAGCCTGTCCTTCTGCCTGAACCCGCACCCGTGACAGATTGACCGACCTAAAAAAACTACATGGACGCCGTGATCTTCCGGGGGATCCCCTACCCGGTCCTGCGACCCCGGTTACAGCTTGTTCCCCGGAAGTCTGCGCTCACCGTCAGCCCTGCCGAGCCCGCACTCACCGTCAGCCCTGTCGAGTCTGCGCCCACCGTCAGCCCTGCTGAGTCAGCGCTCACCGACAGCCCTGTCGAGCCCGCGCTCACCGTCAGCCCTGCCGAGCCCGCGCTCACCGTCCGTCCTTTTGAGCCTGAATGCTCTTCACCGCTGGTTCCGTCCAGCTCTCCAGAGACTGTATGCTCTTCACTGCTGGTTCCGCCCAGCCCTCCAGAGACTGTATGCTCTTCACCGCTGGTTCCGTCCAGCCCTCCAGAGACTGTATGCTCTTCACCGCTGGTTCCGTCCAGCCCTCCAGACAACAGGGACGTCGTGATCTTCCGGGGGATTCCCTACCCGGTCTTGCGACCCCGGTTGCGTCTCGTTCCCCGGAAGTCTGCGCTCACCGTCAGTCCTTTTGAGCCCGAACGCTCTTCACTGCTGGTTCCGTCCAGCACTCCAGAGACTGTATGCTCTTCACTGCTGGTTCCGTCCAGCCCTCCAGAGACTGTATGCTCTTCACAGCTGGTTCCGTCCAGCCCTCCAGAGACTGTATGCTCTTCACTGCTGGTTCCGTCCAGCTCTCCAGAGACCGTCCAGCCTGCACCAGAGACCGTCCAGACAGCGCCAGTGACCGTCCAGCCAGCGCCAGTGACCGTCCAGCCAGCGCCAGAGACCGTCCAGCCAGCGCCTGAGACCGTCCAGCCAGCGCCAGAGACCGTCCAGCCAGCGCCAGAGACCGTCCAGCCAGCGCCAGAGACCGTCCAGCCAGCGCCAGAGACCGTCCAGCCAGCGCCAGAGACCGTCCAGCCAGCGCCAGAGACCGTCCAGCCAACGCCAGAGACCGTCCAGCCGGCGCCAGAGACCAGGATCCCGCCCAGCCTCCCTCTCCCGCCTCCTCTCATCTGTCCTCCCTCTGCTCTCCTGCCCTTCAGCCCCCCGAAACCAGCCTGGTCCGTGTATCCCTGGCCTTCGCCTCACACCTCCCCCATTTGGACACTTCCTCGGCCCCCGGTCCCATTGGCTCCCCCGTGGCTCCTACCTCCCTCAGCTCCTCCATGGCCCCTCAGTCCACCAGCTCGGCCAGGCTCCCTCGACCCTCCGGACTCCCTTCGCTCCCTCGTCGTCCTCCCTTCACCTTTGGACTTCATTCCTCTGGCTCCGCCCCGTCATGTCACCCCCCCGGTTCTGTCGGACTCCTCACTCCCTCCAGTCACCCGTCAGCCCTCACGCCCTCTGACCTCACTGTGTCCCTCCGTGCCCCTGTCATCACTTCAGTCACCAGAGCCTACGGTATCACCACGTTCCCTCAGTCCCTCATCAGCACCACATGTCGTCGGTCCCTCAGCTGCACCCTGGTCTCCTCTCCCATCCGCTCCGCCCCTGTCAGTCGGTCCCCTGGTGTTGTCAGCCCCACTACCATCGGCTCCACCAGGGGTCCTCCCTCCAGCTGCTCCGCCCTGGTCTCGCCCTCAGCCTGCGCCACCCTGGCCACGCCCTCAGTCTGCTCCGCCCTGGCCACGCCCTCAGTCTGCTCCGCCCTGGCCACGCCCTCAGCCTGCTCCGTCCTGGCCTCGCCCTCATCCTGCTCCGCCCTGGGGGGCTGCCTCCTCCTGACCACGCCCTCCACAGCCTCCAGGGTGCCCACCCCCCCTCCCCATTGATATTATGGCGTGAGGCCACGCCTTCCGGAGGGGGGAGTAATGTCACAGTCTGTCGTGCTCACCTGTTTTGTCCCGTCATCTGCACCACACTTCCCCGGATCCTTTTGTTCCTCTCCCGGACTCACTCCCCAATCAGCCACCTGTTCCTCGTCCTGTCATGATCATTTTCACCTGTGTTCACCCCAATCAGCCTTATTCCTCGGTGTATTTAGTTCAGTTCGGTTTCAGTTGGTGTTTGTCGGTCAATGTTTAATGTTACGTGGTTATCCCGTCTTCCTGCCTGTATTTATTTAATAAATTTGATGTTCTTCGAGATTTTGGACTCAGCCTGTCCTTCTGCCTGAACCCGCACCCGTGACAGTTGTACCACGGTGCTTTAATTTTCTCTCGAACCTTTTTTAATCTAATTGGCGCAACAATATCTAATGTACTAGTAAGAATGGTGCTTAAACTGCTAGTCATTTCCTCTAATTCATCTGTTTGTTTGGGTTCACTTAGCAGCTTAGATAGATCAGGTAAGCTATTTGAAAATCCATCTATAGTGGTTGGAAGGATTGTTCTGCCTGGTCTATAACGTGGCGCAACATGACATATTTCAGCAGTACGTATTATGCAAGTCACCATGTAATGATCAGTGACATCATCGCTTTGCGGTATAATATCTATATCAGTTGGATCGGTTCCATATGATATAATTAAATCTAGTGTATGATTTAGACGATGAGTGGGACCACTGACGTTTTGTTTGACCCCAAAGGAGTTTAATAAATCTGTAAACGCAGCCCCTAAAGCATCATTTGTATTATCTACGTGTATGTTAAAATCTCCAGCAATTATTGCTTTATCGACATTTACCAATAGATCCGAGAGAAAGTCTGCGAACTCTTTTAGGAATTCAGCATATGGCCCTGGAGGTCTATATACAGTAGCCAGGGCTAGAGATAATATAGATTTCCTTCTTACATCTAAGAGCGTAACATTTAGCACAAGTACTTCAAATGAATTAAACCTGTGACCTGTTTTCTGAGTAATATTAAAAATATCTTTATAGATTGTTGCAACACCGCCGCCACGACCGATCAGACGAGGCTCATGTTTATAACAGTATCCTGGCGGAGTAGATTCGTTTAGACCGAAATACTCATTTGGTTTAAGCCAGGTTTCAGTAAGGCACAGAACATCGAAGTTATTGTCTGTGACCATTTCATTTACGATAACCGCCTTAGGTGTGAGCGATCTAATGTTTAGGAGACCTAGCTTTAGAAATTGTTTTTGTTGACTGATATTTAGATTTTCTGGTTTAATTACAATAAGATTTTTGCTAGATCCTACACTAGATTTATTGTTTGGCTTCACTAAACGAGGAATAGACACAGTTTCTATATAGTGTTCCACACTATGCTTATTAGTTAAGTTTGGACCGCAAAGGCTGTAATTTGGACTTTGACTCATTAGTCATCTGGTGCGTAATGTCTTGGAAATGTTGTCCGACAGCACAGCCGCTCCGATTCGGCTGGGATGGAGACCATCTGTGCTGTACAGTCTCGGTCTTTCCCAAAACAGATGCCAGTTATTTACAAAGTGCAGCCCCTGTTCATTACACAATGACATTAACCATTCATTTAATGCAAAAAGTCTACTGAACCTTTCCTGTCCTTGTCTGTACGTGGGAAGCGGTCCAGACACGATGATCGCTGCTTTAGGCGCTGTGCTGCGTACCGTCTCGATCAGGCTCCTGTAGTCCTTCTTCAGAACCTCCGTCTGCCGCAGCCTGATGTCGTTCGCTCCCGCGTGCAGCACAACAGCTCCGACGCGCTCGTCCCCGTTCAGGATCTCGGGAACCTGTGCAGCAACATCAAGAACACGAGCACCAGGAAAGCAGTGAGTGCGCATGTAGCAGACCCCTCTCGAATGATGGACACTTCTTTACTGATGTCAATGAAGTTTTTTATTGAGTCTGTTTCACTTCTTTATGCTTTCAATAAATCACATCACCAATCACCGTAAGAGCTGAATAAAGTACAAAAACACGCATTAACAACACGTATTAAACTCTCTCAACGTCATATTATCAACAACATAAGTAAAATACAGACCTTGTGCCTTTTCCGAGGGGGTGCATATACCATTAAACTTCGTTAAACTTGATAAACAGTACAACTCTGCGCGAAGCGCGTGCTTTCTCTTAGCTCTTTCCACTATAACTCGCGCTCTCCCCTTACTTCCTTTTCCCCCGAAGCCCGCAGAACATGTCAAAATAAAAGTCCCACTTAATACATTTTGTAAATCTAATTTAAACTAAACAGGACTATAAAAATATATACAAAAATGTACTAGAAAATTATCAAAGTCTGTTACACTCCCACCAAATTATAAATGTTATATCAACATGCATAATTTTCAAGAATAAGTAATCACATTTCACTTATAAAGACCTTTGTGAGTGCATGTAAAGTCTCTTTGAAGATGTTTTTAATCCGCTTCCAATAATAAAACCAACTTCTGAGCTGGCCTCTCAACTACTGAGACCTTGTTCAATCGTTCTCCTTTCTTGTTCAGTGTTTTGTCACCAAGTGTCAATGTAACTTTCCTTACTAACCCATCTTGGCTAGTTACAGTGTCTATGATCCGACCTAATCTCCATACATTCCTTGGAAGGTTTTCATCCATATCCATGACAACATCACCAATCTGAAAGTTCCTTTTCGGAGCATGCCAGCGTTGTCTTATAGCAATGTTGTGGAGATACTCTTTTTTCCATCTACTCCAGAATTGCTCAGTAAGGTACTGTACCCGTCTCCATCTCTTTCTCCCATAGATATCTTCTCTTATGAACTTTCCTGGTGGTGGTAAGACTGTGGTGGCTTTCATAGTAATCAAATGGTTAGGTGTGAGCGGTTCCAAGCTTTTGGGGTCGTTCAAGTTATCCACAGTAAGAGGACGACTGTTAACTATTGCCATGGCTTCGTAAAACAATGTGCGCAGTGAAGCATCACTGAGCCTGCCTGATGCGAGGGAAGCTGTAGCATTAAGAACACTCCTTACAGTTTTGATTTGACGCTCCCATACACCACCAGCATGACTGGAATGAGGGGGATTCAAAACAAAATCACACTGTTTATCTGCAAGAAAAGCAGTAAGCCTTTCTGGATCAAGTTGCTTTAATGCGGAGTTCAGTTCGTTCTTAGCACCAACGAAATTGGTACCTTGGTCGCATCTAATCTGCCGTACTGTGCCTCTGACAGCAATGAAGCATCGTAAACTGTTGATGAAAGCATCCGTGGACATATCCTCCAACATTTCTATATGAACGGCTCTTGAACAAAAGCAAGTTAGAATCAGACCGTACCTTTTGTGCTGTTTTCTTCCTTCTTTAGTCATGAACGGACCGAAGCAATCCATACCACAATACACAAACGGTGGGGAAGACTCTACACGTTCTACAGGAAGATCACTCATCCGTTGTCCTTCAGCAGATTTTCTCAACTTTCTACAAGTTACACAATTGTGAATGTAAGATGTGACAACTCTGTTCATTCCAGGTATCCAATAGCCTGAAGATCTGATAGCATTAATCGTGAAACCTTTCCCTTGATGCTTAACACTTTCATGATAGTGTGCAATTATCAGCTTAGTTACATGATGTTCTTTGGGAAGAATCAGTGGGTGCTTGAACACATGAGTGCATGACGAGTGACTTAATCTTCCTCCCACCTTAATCATACCGTCCGTATCTATGAAGGTGTCTAGATGATGAAGTCTGTTATGACATGGAAGCTGTTTACCTTGACTCAGGACATCCATTTCTTTCTGATAAACTTGTTTCTGCACTCCTTTTAGAATCAAGCATCTAGCTTGTTCTTGTTCACTCACTGATGCTGGTGAATTAGACTTATCCTTCTTAACCCTTCTCAGAAGACGTGCAATGGCCTTGACAGCATTAGACCAGGATGAAAACTTAGACAAATGGTCCACGAAATCTTTACTTTCTGTGGTTTCTGTATGAAAGGTCTGCGTCTTTCTGACTTCTGGATCACCTACTGGAAGTTCCGGTACAACATCTGAACTCACTATTTCTTTCTTCCACAGGAAAGACGGACCTGAAAACCAGTTAGATGAGAGCAATTCATGTATTGTTCTACCTCTTGAAGCATTGTCTGCAGGGTTATCATCTGTTGAGACGTACAGCCACTGTTTGGGCGCTGTGCTTTGACGTATCTTTTGAACTCTGTTGGCTACGAACGTATGAAAACGACGAGCATCATTATTTATGTACCCTAAGACAACTTTTGAGTCAGTCCAAAAGAATTCATCGACATTGGTGAGGTCAAGCTCCTCTCTGAGCATATTGCTCATTTTGACTGATACCACAGCAGCCGTCAACTCTAATCTTGGTATTGTAGTGATCTTTACAGGAGTAACCCGGGCTTTACCAACGAGAAAAGTGCAATGAATCTCATCCTTCTCACTGATCATTCTCAGATACGAACACTGACCGTAACCACAGGTACTTGCATCAGAGAAATGATGTATCTCTGTTTTCACAATCTTGCCGAAATTAGCAGGTACATAACATCGTGGTATGTCAACCTTTTCCAGATTGACAAAGTCATTCTGCCATTTCTCCCACCATGGGCTGAGAGCAAGAGACAGTGGATCATCCCAGCTTGTGCCCTTGCGACACATTTCTTGTAAGATCCTCTTACCATTGAGAACATAAGGAGCTACAAAGCCCAAAGGATCATATATTGAGGCAACAGTTGACAATATGCCACGACGTGTTGTAGGTTGACCTTTTAATGGGATGTGGAATCTGAAGCTATCACTCTCTATGTTCCAGTGAATACCCAAAGTTCTCTCAAGTGGCATGTGACCGAAAGTAAGATCCTTTGTCTCAAAGTTTACAGCACGTTCTGATGCTGGTATGCTCTGTAGCACAGTGCTGTCATTGGACACAAATTTGTGAAGTCGTAGACCTCCTTTTGCACACAACTCTCGTGTCTCCTTTGTTAGCTGAATAGCCTGTTCCACTGTTTCGACGCTTGTGACTCCATCATCAACGTAAAAGTCTCTTATGATGAACTGAGCGGCTAATGAGTGAGACTGACAATGCTCACTGGCTAAATGTCTTAGTCCATAATTTGCGCACCCAGGCGAAGAAACAGCACCGAAGAGATGAACTTTCATACGGTAATCTTGAAGCGGTGAGTTTGTATCTCCGTTCTGCCACCACAAGAAGCGCAAGTAATCTCTATCATTTTCCTGAACATGGAATTGGTGGAACATTTTTTCTATATCACATGTCACAGCTATGGGGTGCTTTCTGAATCTGACGAGGACTCCTGTGAGATTGTTTATCATGTCTGGCCCAGGTAACAGATGATCGTTGAGACTTGTGCCTTTAAATTTAGCGGAACAATCAAACACGACACGTAGCTTGTCTGGCTTTTTTGGATGGTAAATGCCATGATGAGGTATGTACCACTTTTCACCATCAGTTCCATCATCATTCACTGTTTCTACATCACCTCTTTCAATGATATCATTCATGTACGCAATGTAGTCTGCCTTGTATTTCTCATTTTTACAGAACTTCTTGTTCAAGTGATTGAATCTGACCTTGGCAAGCTCTCTGTTATCAGGTAAGTATGGACGTTGTTTGAACGGGAGAGGCATTTCATAATGTCCCTGTGCATTTCTCTTTATGCCTTCTTTGAGTTTGTCCAAAAACACGATATCATCCTGTGAAATTGTCTTGTCGCCGACAGTGACATCTTTAAAGTCAGACTCGAGCACATGTATGGCATCCACAGGTGTCAGAGCTGGAATCTCCTTTGTGGCTATTCTGTGACAAAGACCAATTGCTGTGGATTCATGAATGCTTGATGTGGAGCTGCCTACGATACTCCAACCTAGATCAGTTAGAATGGCATAGGGTTCTTCTTCTTTACCTAGAATGACTTCTCTAGGAGCTAACACTCTGGGGCAATTGTAACCAATCAGTAACCCTACTTCACAGCCGAGAAGAGGTGACATATCCTTTGAGATTACCTTCAAGTGACTCCAGTTCTTTGCCGTTTCCCTAGTTGGTATGTGGTCACGATTGACAGGAATACACTCTTTGGTGTATAATGGAGGCAGATTGATATGTACTGATGAATTATACCCTCTCACTTGAAGATCAGTGATCCTTTTACTGTTAATGATCATACTGTCTCCCATCAGAGTAGTAAGTTTGAGTTTGATAGGATGAGCATCCACTTGCAGTACTTTACTCACTCCTTCATCAATGAAAGTGGTGTCACTTTGAGTGTCAAGCAAAGCATAGACAAGCTGTTCATTAGATGGATTTTTGACGGACGACACCCATACAGGTACAATCATAGATGTAATGACTGAATGACCTTCTCTTGTGACGTTAAGAGACGTGGCATCAGTAATCTCACTCTCATTGTTCACTGTTGGTTGCTTTCGGTATCCATTATACTCGTAGTTGTAATCATGAAGGCTTGTGGGATGTCTCAATTTGCATACATCACATGTGTGACGACGACGGCATTCCTTAGCAAAGTGACCTGGTTTCATACATCCAAAACAGAGCTTGTTATCTTTGACATACGACCTTCTGTCTTTCAGCGACTTCTCCATTAATTTAGGACACTTACTGAGCTGATGGTTGTCATCTTGACACAACATGCATGACGGTTTTGACTGTGTTTTAGCCACTGTCTGTTTATCACTATTTACTATTGTCTGCGTCTTATAAACAGTAGCCTTGTTTCTTTTGACCTCATTCGAGACTCTTCTCTCCGGAGGTGACTCACGTGAATGAAGAGCGTTCAAAGACGTAATAGGATTACACATTATCTCTGCTTCAATTGAAAGGAACTTTACGAAGTCTTGAAAGCTTGGAAATTCCTTACCGTCCATAAGCGCTGTAGTGACCTGGCGGTTCCACCTGGCGGCTGCCCAGTCAGGAAGTTTCTGTACCAGCTTTTGGTTCTCTTCACAATCGTTCAGTATTTCTAAGCCTTTGACATGCGGTATGGCTTGCAGACATGCATATAAGAAGTCTGAAAATGTTCTCAGACCTTCTGCATCTTTAGACTGTATTTTATGCCACTTAGACAGCTTTTCACGGTATGCTCTTTGAATGATGAAGGGCTGGCCATATCGTTGGTTGAGTTTATTCCAAGCATCTTTGTAAGCTTCTTCATCGCTTCTATAAAAGGTGCCTTCTAGAAATCTGTGCGCTGAACCGCTGACATACTTTTTCAAATAGTAGAGTTTATCAGCTGCAGAGATGCCCTTTCGATCTATAAGTGACATAAATGAGGCTTTCCAGTCTACAAACTGAATCGGGTCTCCATTGAACACTGATGGCTCTGGTATGGGCAATCTGTTGATCGCTATGCTATCCTGAACAGCCTGAGCAAGCTGAGACACTTCACTGAGAGTCGTTGACTGAATAACACTGCATTGTCGTTCTGTTGCAGAGAAGATTTTCCTTTTCTGACTTTCGTGTTCAGACTGCATTGACTGACTCTTAGTCTCTTGCTTTATTTCTTCATCATACGATTTTACTCTGGCTCGAGCGATCTCTATGTCCTTTTCTACCTGTAGCCGTTCTAATTCAAACCTTTGAGTCTCTAGCTCTTGTCTGAGCTGCTCTTCTAGAGTTCTCATTTTTTCCTTTTGCTGTCTTTCCGCTTGCATCATCTTGTATTCAGCCTCTTTCGCAGCCAGCTCTGCCACAGCATCTGCACGCTTGCTTGTACAAGAAGATCTAGAACTGCTGCTGACACTCGTTTGCGAAGTACTGGACCCGTATATGGAATGGGCATAACTATGGGCTAAAAGTTCATGCAGACGTCTCCTTTCTTGTTCTGCATCAAAATCGCCATCTACTATTGCCAACTTTTCCAGTACAATTTTGACTAAATCATTGGTCACAGCTTCACATGCGTCAATTTTACGTCTTAAATCAGTAGCGGGTGTACTATGTTCCCTTATCTCACTGAAGATTTTCATAATACAGTTCTTTTTATCCTCTAGTGAGTCAGCGATTTCAGCAAGCTGCTTATCAGAGATGTCTGACTTTAAATCATGTCTTGCTTTACGCGCAGCAACTTTCCATTGTTCGTACAAAGTGTCAATTCTTTTTTCTTTCTTACAGCACTCATCTTTCTGGTAAGCAAGCATTTTCTCTGAAGGCATATGTGGACGTTCTGAGCGTCGAGGCAATCCTGTACTGTCTTGTGAATGACACGGGATTTCAGTGGCATTTTTCTCTTTATATTTAACTGATCCTTCTCCGTGCTTTTCCTTTACACTTTCTGACTTTGTTTGAAGCGACCTTTCAGAATCTGGGTCTTCAGTTTCAATTTCCATAATCAACTCACTTGTATGGCGTTTCAGCTCTCCATCACGCTGATTCCATCGTGCTGCACTTCATTAACGATCGTCACGTTGCCCCATCCACAAAAGCACGTGCGGGTGCGGCCGAGATCCAAACCAGCGAAGGTGAAGCTCTTACTGTAGCAGACCCCTCTCGAATGATGGACACTTCTTTACTGATGTCAATGAAGTTTTTTATTGAGTCTGTTTCACTTCTTTATGCTTTCAATAAATCACATCACCAATCACCGTAAGAGCTGAATAAAGTACAAAAACACGCATTAACAACACGTATTAAACTCTCTCAACGTCATATTATCAACAACATAAGTAAAATACAGACCTTGTGCCTTTTCCGAGGGGGTGCATATACCATTAAACTTCGTTAAACTTGATAAACAGTACAACTCTGCGCGAAGCGCGTGCTTTCTCTTAGCTCTTTCCACTATAACTCGCGCTCTCCCCTTACTTCCTTTTCCCCCGAAGCCCGCAGAACATGTCAAAATAAAAGTCCCACTTAATACATTTTGTAAATCTAATTTAAACTAAACA